TATATATGTATATATATTTGATTAGAGTTATTATTATAGATTATGTCTGAATATATTATTAGATGAAATTTGTTAAGATTAGTCATCATTTCCAAAACGATAAATACTACTACTAGTATTCTGTATAAATACTACTGTTACCGAATTCGATTTATCCCCAAATTTGTAATTAATTTTTTAGAGAAATTATTGCATAATGTTGTCAATAGGAAAGATTTACAAAATACCGAAAATCTATCGAGAAACTCACTTTAAATCACGCTTTACAACTAACATCATGCAGATAAACTAATAAATTACATATGTAAAATGCACCAAATTTTAACGTACAGAAAAAGTAACAAAAAGGAAACATACCTTTCCTTCGACCTGGCTGTAAGCATTGCTGATGACACGCGATCTCCGTCGGGAAATTGTTGTCGTTCGCTTTGCAACCACCGTATATGAATTGCTCGCAAGCCTGCGATTCTTGATTGAAGTACCACTTTGTAAAGTTGCCTGCGCAAGGACCTGTTTCTTTTGATTGATCGCAAGCATCTATATAAAACATAAACAATAAATTAATTTGTTAGTTGATTTTTCAGATCGTAAAATGTATATAAAAAGAGTCGAAGGAGATTTTAAATCCATATTTACAGGCAAAGTAATTAAAAAATATGGAATTTTTATCATTATGGATACAGCTGCTTACCAACATCGTCCGGCGTAACGCAAAGTTCTTCGCATTCCTCCCTAGTTTTGAACTTATTAGCATTACCAAGGCAACCGCCGTAAATGAATTGACCGCATTGCTTCCTGCCCGCATCGTAATACCATGTCGGATGATATCCTTCGCAAGGACCAGCGATCTTCGGTAAGAAGCAAGCAGCTGCAAAGTAAATGAAAAGTTCCTTGTTTCGATATATTTCGAAATATTTTAATATGTAATTGGTTCGTACAAAAGATTTGTTTTATATCAAAATTTATAAAAAGGGAATTATACATGATTCTATTTTTATATCACAAGAAGACAATATATATAATTTATAATTGCAAAGAATCGTCTTTGAATAGCTACCTTTTCCCTTCGGCTGAACGCAAACCTCTTTGCACTCTTCCTGCGTTTTGAATCGATTCTCGTTACCCTCGCAGCCTCCGTACCAGAATCTCGAGCAACCGCCGTAATCGGTGTCGTAGAACCACTTGACTGTGAAGTCTCGGCAGGAGCCCCTGTCTTTCTTCAAACTGCACGCAGCACCGGGCATCGAAGGCACCGTAAGACAACCCTCAAAGTTCTCTCCTTGAGCTTCCTCGATTCCGTCCGGACAGCATCCGTACTGCGAAGCTTCGCAAGTACATCCGGCAAAGTTCGGTCCTGTCGCCGGGGTTTGGCCGTCCGAGCAGCATTTGTATTTCGTATTCTCGCACCCGCAGCCTGTGAATATCGCCAAACGCATCGCGATGCAATATGTCGCTTACTTGTTTAGCAATTATAAAATTTTATAGCGATTTTTCAATCAGTGAGCAAGTTGAACTATAGAATTTTCGTCAACTTATATTTAATCTCTTATTCTTTTGATGGAGTAGACTCACGTTGATTGTGTGCATCAACCGTAAAATTACCTTGACCATGGGAACCCTTGGCAATGGTAATGCCGTCGGAGCAGCATCCAAATTGATAAGTGTAACACGGGCATCCCTCGAAATTGGGTCCGCTGGCGGGGGTGAACCGATTCGGACAGCAACCGTGAGGCGTGTATTGACAGCCGCAGCCCTCGTTGCTCGGTCCGCGCGCCGCCGTCGAATTATCCGGACAACAGCCGAATCTCGTGTACTGGCAGCCGCAGCCGTAGAAGTTTGGTCCACGCGCCGGCAGAATGTTATCCGGACAGCATTTGTACGGGGTCGATAAGCAACATCCCTCGTTGTTTGGTCCGTGCGCCGGTGTTACCCCATCCTCGCAGCATCCGTAAGCGCTATCGTGGCAAGGCATCCGACAGCCATGATTATCCGGACCGAGAGCTGCGGGAACAGAATCGCAAACGTGAAACACACACATACAATGTATTCAGAATCGTTCGCCTATCTGTTCTGATTTCCTCCGATTATCGATACGTTTAATTGATGACGAGTTTTATGAGATTGACTAATAAAGGATTATTAAAGAATTATTAAAATACTGTACGAAATTTGCCTTATAATACTTTATTTTAAAATATTAAAATTTTTTTTTGGATATTTTTTGGAACATTTTAATAATATTTCAAAATTAATAGTTTTTTAAAGTATTATTTTGCACGTAATTTTGTTCATTTCATAATAAAGGATTATTTGTATTATTTCCGATTATTTCATAATAAAGTTAATGTTTCAAAATATTAAGAATCAGAAATTACAACTGTTTTTTCTCGAATAGCAAATTTTGCGAGTAATTAACTGTTTTGAGAAATGATATCTCTCAAGAAATTTATCGAATAATTTATTGCACGACAAAACCTCGTACCTGCGGAAACTCCGTCAGGGCAGCATCCGAAATAGGACGCGCTGCAATTTTCGGTATTAATGACACCGCATCCCGCAAAGTTCGTGCCATTCGCAATGGTAATGCCGTCGGGACAGCAACCGTAGGTGGTGTTTGCACAATCTTCTGGTGTGATAAGTTGCGTTGTTGTCTCATATATTTCTGTTTGGGATGTTTCGGAAGTGGCTTCCTCCTCGCAACCTAGTCACAACATATGTCATTAAATTAGGTCATTCGAAAATCTGTATAATAAATATATATAAGTCCAGTCTAAAGACAAGATAAGTACCTTCGCTATCAGGACCAGAAGCGGCTTTGATATTGTCCGGACAGCAACCGAACTCAGTAGAGTTACAACATCCCAGATAATTCTTTCCATCAGCTGCGGTCTCGTTATCCGGACAACATCCGAATCTATAAATTCACAAGAACAATTAGATTTATAGAACTCACAAATGTTTAGAAAAGTTGACGCGCAAATAAAGATTTTGTATAAATATTATCGTTTAATTATAAAAGCCAAAATTTGAAAAAAAATGCATTCTGTTATTCGGATGCAAAATTATTTCAAGAATTCACGTCGTAAAAAAGTGGAAACTAACTCGGTTTCTGCACACGGTTTCGTGCATCCTTCGTAATCATTTCCTTGCGACGTGGTAACACCGTCCGGACAGCAGCCGAAGAGCGATTCGTTACAATGAGAATCGGGACAACCCGCGTTCTTCGGACCGGTGGCCGGCGACACGCCATCGGGGCAGCAACCGTATCGTGTATCGTTGCACGTTTGAGGTGTCGGGCAACCTTGACCGAACGGTCCACGAGCGGCGGTGATGCCGTCGTAGCAGCATCCAAAGGGCGTCTTTTTGCAGGTCTTCCTCGGTTTGCATTGCCGCTTGTGCGCGGTCGTTTCTGGGAAGCTGGTTGTCCATATCTCCGTGACTGAAAATTAAGTTGGTTGTTAATAGAGTGAAATATTTGATCATTTCAAATCGTTTGTTTACCATGAGTCTTTTCGGTAAGATCGGTTTCTCCACTGATTGTAGAGGACGTAACTTCCGTCGCGGTGGTTTCACCAGATATCGTTGTCTCCTCGAGAGACGACGTCGTGGCCGATGATTCGGTCGTTTCGCTCGATACAGTTGTCCCCTCCGATTCCGTCGTCGCACCTGACTCGGTGGTTTCCGTAATTTCGGACTCCGTAGTCGCACCTGATTCGGTGGTCGCACTTAATGTACTGATCGTAACTTCGCTGGATTCGCTCGTCGATCCGGATTCCGTTGTCTCAGTTAATTCCGTTGTCTCAGTCAATTTCGTTGTCTCAGTTAATTCCGTTGTGCTGACGCTCAACTCAGTTGTCTCGCCTGATTCCGTGGTTTGTTCCGATTCGGTTGTTTCGGTTGTTTCGCTGCCGGAAGTTGCAGTCTCATCAGTCGAGCTTGTCTCGGAAACGGTACTTTCTTCCGTGCTAATCGTTGTAGTAAGATCGGTTTCTTCGGTAGCACCCGATACTGTCGTTACGACGTCGGTACTCTGTTCCTCCGAATTGAAATCATACTCGCCTTGCACTTTTAATTCGGTCGTCAGCTCAGAGACCATTGTTGATGTCTCAGTCGCTGTCTCTGTGGGATATTATTACGTAATTTGTACTTTTTGATTCGTTATAATAACTAAAATTATTTAACTCTACACTAATTTTACATTAACAAATATAAGCGCTCATGCATTTATATATTATTCAACGCTAAAAAAAACTAATTATATTTAAAATCCAGATTTGAATAACAACAATAATAACAAAACGTAAACTTACAATATATTTGCAACTACAAAATATTGAATCAAAATTATTATAATTTAATATTTACCGGTTGTAATGCTGGATTCAGTGGTCTCGTCGCTCCTCTCGGTTGTTTCTGTTTCTTCCGTAACTGTGGTTTCCGTTTCCGAAGAGGATGTAGTTGGTGGAGATTCCGTGGATTGAGTCGTGTCTGTAGATTCTGTCGTATCAGTAGTTTGCGTCTCCGTCGTGTCGGTCGTCACCGTATCGGTGGTGTCAGTTGTCTTCGTTTCGGTAGATTCTGTTGATTCGGTAATGGATGGATCTGTGGTTTCCGTTGAACCGGTGGTAAGATCGGTATCAGCCGATTCGGTCGTGACATCGCTGGATCCAGTCGTCATGTCGCTGGATTCGGTCATTGTCGGTTTCTCCGAACTTTCTGAACTTTCCGAACTTTCCGAACTTTCCGAACTGGTGGTAGATTTTGCGGTTTCGCTGGAGACTGTAACGGAAGAACCCACCGATTGTAATTTTTGATTCAGTATATCTCTAAAGATCATTAATAAATATATATAGAGTGATGCTAATTTTTTTTATCAATGATATATACTTAATGATTTCCATGCATGCAGATGCTGTATTATAGCATCGATAATAAACTTTCGTAGTAAAAAATATATGTGACAGAAACCTACTGTCGGATTCCGCGGTCACAGCCGACGTCGATGCCTGAGTTTCTTCCACCGTAGTTTCCTCCGTGAACGCATTTGTAGACGCGCTCGCTCCGGATCCTTCCTCGGGGCTTGTGCCGGATCCTTCCTCGATAGTAGTGCCGGAACCTTCGAACGTCACGTCGGTATCTTCGGTGATGTCCGACGATTCGGTCACCTCTGTCCCGAATTCCGTCGTACCGGTTCCGGCTTCCATCGTGGTTTCGTTCACCGGACTTTCGCTCTCCTCGACTGCAGTGGAATCAGTATCGAGGACCGTGCTGCCGGTGAACAAACTGGTATCGAACATGGTGAAATCATTGTCGTCGCCGCTACCTTCGCCGCTACCCAAATCGGAAGGCGATATATCGCCTCTCGTCGAATCGCTAAACATGGTATCGTAAATGTCACTTCCGATAAACGGCGAGCTCAGAGGTGTCGGTTCCGTTTGCTCGATCAGCTTGCCCTTCATTGCCTTCTGCAATAAGAAAAGACGCTTCACAATGCTGCAATCCTTTCGATTTCGTATCAATCCGTCCTCGGTAAGATGCGAATTCGAAAGGAGAATCGCATTATCGGATCGTTTCGCGCGTAAAGGAGGGTTGATTTGATTCGAGTCCAGGACGACTCCTTCAAAAGGAAGGTGGAACAATAAGAAACGAAGTTACGAAGTAACTCAGTCGCGCATGATATTCGATTAGATGCGACATGACCCAGTTTTGCTTACCCCCTCGGGGAGACCGTATTCAACAGCACCCTTCTCCTCCTCCTCCTCCTCTTCCTCGCATTCTTCTTCTTCCGAGTCCGTTATTTTCTCATCTGGTTCTTCGTCGGTCGGTGTCACGCCTAAAGATGTGTTTGTCCAAAGAAACACAAGAAATTTATATAAATTGTAATTTGATAAATTCAGGCTGTACAAATATGAAAAAACTTTTTGAATGCCGAAGAATTCTACGTGTACACTTTGTTCGTTATTGATATAGTCTCAATAATGCCAGAAGATTAATTTTCCTCGCTAGGAGGCTAACGGCAGGTGACGTTATATTCACGGTGGGTAGTTCGTTGCCCTTTGGAATATAGTAAGACATTTGAGTTTAATACCGCGAACCTCGTTATTTTCACGCCTGCTGTTCAAAATACGCTCCATATTTTATGCTCACGATATATAATGAACAGGTTGACGTCACAATGTAAATCATGTGATCTGCATGATAATGAAGCAAATGTTAACGTCTGTATTTTACTTTGTCGATAAAAATGAAATTTCACACATACATATGAATAATAAAATAAATGAAAAGTTGTTTCAATATGTGAAAAATTTTAAAATAATTACGTTATTAAACAACATTTTCTAAAGTTAGTATTAATATGCATCCTTTTTCAAGTTCTACTGTTATTTTAAATCCTATTATTTTTCATCTAAAAATAATTTTTTTTTGCACACGTTCTTTTCAAACGTTAAAATATTCTTAAGTATAAACACTAAATAGCTAAATTTACCTTCCTCGCAAGGTTGATCGTTGCATTTTTCGGTGGAGAACATGATGTTACTGGCGTCACACTGGCTCAGAGACACCATTTTGTTATCCTTCATGCAAATCAATTTACGGGTCATGTCGCCGCCGCCACATGGCTTTGAGCACTGCAACACATTGCGACGTGATTGACGATATCGTTGATTACACTTTGAGAAGATTACGTTAACAAGTCTAATAAATCGATTACAGGCGAGTTATATATGTAAACTAAATTTCAAAACTTTATAGAAAGCTGGTAAAAGCAGGTGAGAGCGATCAGGATATGAGAAAACTATGGTCGTAACGTTAAGCGAAATAATATCAATCAATTTACTATGTCAGAAAAGAAACATGTTATATATGCAAAAGTATGTTAGTTAAACATAATAAAACAAACCTTGCTCCAAGGTCCTGTAAACCATTCGCCTTTGCACGGTTCCTTGGCAGTACAATTCTTGGTGTCTTCAAACTTCTCTTCGGGATCACAGTTCTCGTCCGGGACTTTTTTCACTGTATCGTCGCTGAAAGTGCCGCAGAACACTTTGCGCGTCTGTACGCCGGATCCACATTCTGCCGAGCACTGCAAAATTGTTAATAATTTGATTAATTGAAATTTGAAAGCATTTAATTTAAAGAATATAACTAACATTATTTTTAATGAACCCAGAAAGAGAGAAATACATTTAAAAAAAATAATAATAATAAACACAAAAATATTATCTTTCTCTCTTTTGCATTTACTTTGCTCCATTGCGAGATGAACCATTGGAAGTCGCAGTTCTTGGCTTTCTCGCATTCTCTTTCTAGTTCTGGCTTCTTGTCCGCGTCACACAAGTCATCTGAGTAAACCACGCCGTCCTGGGTAGCGCAATGAGCGGTTCTAGTCTCTTTGGTGAGATCGCATTTCTCCTCGCACTATCAAAAAGAGATTCTCAAATTATATATTCGTTTATTCATCAGAAGCAAAATCGGTATTATTTTATTTAAATATATAGATATAT